TCACAATAAAGACACAAGTAGGCACGTTATCGGCTGTCATAGATCGGTGGATCGTCTTTTACTCGATGTCTAGGTTTCCATCAGGACAGCAGCCGTGATCCGTGATATTGGCATTTTCGAACAGAAACGTCAAAGTCTTTGTTTGAGCGATCTTACTAGTGAAATTAACCTGCGCTACGCATAGCACGTCGAGACTGTGGAACACCATTTAGGTGATTCGTTAGAAATTTCATTCAAGAGCGAGAAAGTCGAAGCTTGAAGCGTGTTCAAAGTTTACGCTTGTATTCGACTTGAGAAGCAAATCTCTCTCTGTTGGTCTAGAATCCACGGCATTTCGAATCCTAACTGGCGGTATGAACGACAACAGGTTCATGGTATGCCAACAAATGTACACAAATGCAGTGTGTTGCATTGAAAGGTTAAGCTTTTGCTTATGGTAAGTAAGTTTACTTACGAAGCAGATTGTCGACCTTAAATAGGTCGCCTTAAGTCCTTCACGTAAATTGAGATGAGGGATGCCCTCCTTACGGATCGGCTCGCTGAGGAACGGGCACTTCCTATGCACGAAGACATTGAGCGCATGTTCGAAAAAGGCGCAGCCAGTCGTGAACATGCGCAAAGAAAATTGTGAGCAGCTTGCAAGGTCAACTGAAAAGTGGGACAAAAGTGTGTGTGATGTGATTACGGTAAGTGCCTAATCATATAAGACGCAGTAATGGAAGCCCGTTGACAGTCAGGGAGTCCCTGCTTAATTTATAAAGGTTCTTTGTGAGCTGGCCAAAAACTTCACTACGCTGCATCGAAGGCGACATCATTTCCCAAAAAATTATTCACCGTCACCCTTGAGAACGTAATGCGAGCACTGGAATAGGGCAACATGGGAGTGAAGATCGATGGTCGGCAATCACGCTATCTTCGCTTTGCTGACGACATCATTCTTATAGCACCAAATATTAGCAGAGCGAAACGGATGTTCGTCGTCTTGATAAGGCTTGTGGAAAGATTGGTCTTCGAATAAATCTCACAGAAGCGATGTTCATGAGAAACGGATTGGTTTCTTATGTCCCATTCACCCTCAACAGAACGAATTTCTCCGAATCCTCCAGTTATGTCTATCTAGGTTAGGAAATCAACATGATGAACGAATTAGCTTCAGAGCTAAGCAGAAGAAAAGCAGTGGTTTGAGGAGCCTTCAGGGCCATCGAGAATACAGTGAAAAAAACAAAGAACGCCCGACCGTTCCCACCTTTTCGACTCAGCGGTACTTCTTGCGTTAATGTGTGCATCAGAAACCTGGTCGCTGCATCAACAGGATGAAAAATCACTCAGCGTTATTGCAGACGCAATCGAAAGTACGATGCTAGGAGTATCCCGTGCCACGCAAGTAAGGGAAGGGTTCCGAAGCTCTGCCCTGCGTCAATGAGCGATGCCATTTTGAGCGCCAAACAGTCGAAGATAAGGTACGCCGGACACGTAAGGGGTGTAAACGACAACGGGTGGACAAGAGCCGTTAGTGACTGGATTCCACGGGTTGTCAAACGAACTGCAGGAAGACCGCCTACCTGATGGTCAGAGTTCTTCACGAAAAGCCCAAAAGAAAGATTTGGTGCTCAACAGGTCCGTAGAGCGAGAAGAATCCACTGGGCTACTCTTGGACACGATAAGGAAAAGTGGAAGATTCACTGGCGCCCGCTCGAGTTACTCGACGATCAACTGGACTATTAGGTTGGACAGGTGATGCTCCAAAGTGGTCAGTATTGGACGCAGTCTTGTATCGGCGTACGCATCGTTATCAATCCAGTGAATATGCAGTGATTTGTCTATGACTGGACATTTTTAAAACTGAGAAAATTTAGAGAGTAAACGAAAAAACTTCTGCATTGTGTAAAGCGTTGTATCCGACTAGAGTTTGCATAAACGGAAGCGGAGATACAGCACATTCTTCGTAACCAGCTAGCAAAAAGGCTCTTACAACGCTGAAAATTTCATGCTTACACAGGTGCTAAAGAGTTGATGAGCATGAATTTTTAGCAAAATTAGTACCTCATACAAGACTTTTGAAAGCACTTCCCCTTCGCATTGCATATGCACCAGACCCAAGCTAATTTTTTAAAATAGCTGGTGGAATGGAAAGTTGTAGTGAACCTGTTATAATACTCATAAGTGTTCTCGCCCCTTGCGAGTGCTCACTGGACATCTTTGTATGTCCTGCAACACCTGTGGTCTCGTTGACTGTCAAGTGACTCGGTCGGGCGCCAGTAAATCTTCCATTTTTTCCCGTCGCATGTAAGAGTGTCCAGCGGGTCCTACTCGCTCTAGGAACTCGTTGAGCATCATATCTTTCTTTTTTTTTGGCTTCTCGCGGGTAAATTTGGTAGAGGTAGCGAACTAATTGGCGACGTAGAGTAGCCGGTGGTTTTTCAACTATCGCTACCGATTCCTCTAGACCTGCCCTTCTTAAGCATCGTTTTATAGCTACGCTTACTTTATTGCTTATAAAAGGCAACATGAACGGGACTTTCTTTTGGTCAAGTGTTTCGCGTGGGCGCGTCGCTCCCCTTCTTTCGTAGCCATTGGAGATGGCTATTTGCCGAGCCAAGTCGCGCGACTCTTCCTTTAGTTCCCTGGTAGTGCACACAGAGGTGGTTGTTCGAAACATGTTTCTCACAATCGCCCTCTTTGTGTGTGAAGGGTGAGAAGAAAGGAAATGAACAAGAATGTTCTTGTTACTTGGCTTTCGATACCACTTTGTCAGGTAACCGCTACTTGATAGGTTTATTTGAACGTTCAAAAATGGAAGCCAGTTTTCTCTCGGTTTCTACCGGGTGAACTTTATGTACTCAGACTGCTCATTCAACAATTCAAAGCATTTGTCCATCTCCTCTTGAGTACAGAAGATGACAAAACAGCCATCTATATACCTACAGTAGAGGACCGGCCGGAGATCAATAACGGTGGCTTCTATTTTAGACACAAATACAATGGCAAAACTTGGCGCCAGTCGCTGTCCCATTGTCAGCCCTCTCAATTGCGCGTAGTGTTTTCCAGGCCATCTAAAAATAGAGCAGTTCTGGCACTTTTAAGAGAGTCAGGAGCTGCTGAATAGACAAGCCTTGCGTATGTATTCCACCTCCATGTTCAACAAGGAGTTCGAGGATGGCTTGCATTGCGGAGTCATTCCATGCGTTGGTGTAAAGCGTGGAAACGTCGAAGACTCCATCACGTACGCGTTGTTAGGAGATGCGGTTATTTTGTCCGCTGGCCAGTTTACACAACTGATGTTGGGTCTAAGTTGTTATAATGTTAGTTATATAAAAGTGTTTTAATTTACTCTGCGCCGTTTCGATCTTTCACCCAAATGTAAATATCGTCATTTTCAAGAAAAGCGCGTACGAGGCAGTTATTATAAATTATTTATTCACAGCAGGTGACGTTTTCGGCGGATTTAGCTTTCTTAATAGCAGTCAATTTGACCCTCCCAGTCTCGTGCGCGCGGAGGTGTTGATCGTGTTTCACTTTTTCATTCGCCATTGACGTTCGTCATAGAGTGGTTCCGTCATTGATGTTCTCAACAGCATTTCTGCTCTTCGTTTCCAGGCTCTCAATGAGAACAAGATCAGAATATTGAGTGACATGCCTTCAGCAAAGTAGGTCTCAGAGATAATATTGGATCACAAGCACGCAAGCGAAATTAACAGGTCACTTGCGACTACGACTGACGATGTAAGGTGACCCTCAGGTATTATTGCTTTGTTCGAAATCGATATACACTCCAATTAATCTGTACGATAAGGGCTATCTAGAAGACTATTTGATTGATCATCATAAAAGAAGATGTTACGTGAAGTCGATGATATCATTCTTGGGTCTCGAATTTGATTTCTCTGGCAGAGCATAGAATACGAGAAAATTCTCCTTCGGTTTCTCCTCAGTGATGTGGTTTTCCTTTTGTCTGATCTGCACAGGGAATAGTTAACTTAAATTGTAGTCTTATGGAAATAACCTCCAAAGAAATCTGAAGTTTGTTTAAATGCAAAGAGTGGCATTTGTATGACGGTTTTGAAATAAACTCAGCGCTAGCACAGCGCTGCACAACCTGTGAATCTTCTGTGATGACTTAAATTCTGATAAGAACAGTTACAATGGAGGTGTATTGGGGCACGAAATAAAAAAGTTGAGCATGGGGACACTGATCAATCGAAAGCGAGAAACTGTGTGGCACGACGACGTCAGAACAAACTTGGCTTCAACAAGTTCAGCTTTCCCTACAGTACTCAACCGTTGCAACACTTCGATGTGTGTTGCAAAAATTTGGTCCGTCAAAATCTATTCCCAGATCCTTACTATGTTCAAATATATTCATTACTGGGACTTTCCTTGGTGTTGAAAATCCTTTTTTTTTCCTGAAAGGAAAAATTTCACACGATCGGGGATTCATAACAAATAATCGCGCTTGAATTGCAAATTTCTTGTTTAATTACCCTCCTTTTGAATGTTAGTGTATACACACCTCTGATTGCTGGCTGACGGAGAGCATAGTTGAGAGTCTTGACCCATGGGAGGGTATCATGTGAAATACAACCATGATGATATTTTTCAAAACTCTGGCCAGTAGGTGTCTGCGGTGGGGAACGAACGCGCTATTACCCTTTCCGAGGGCTAATGCGTTCACCACCACACCATGCGGATCCTTCGTTTCTCTCATTTAGTCCTCTATCTACCCTTGCATCAACAGTCACCTGTCAACGTCATCTTGGTTTTATAGTTGAGAGTATTCATCGAGTAAGTTTTCAGAGAGCAACAACTAGAACTGAAAGGAATCCGAAGCCAGAAATGCAAGGCTTGTTCGCCTGTGGAATTGTAAGTATCAATGTATCAGATGTAATGACATAATCTTTACTCCAAACTTTATTTAGGGATTCCATAAAAGATGAGCGCATAAGACAGCTGGAGAACAACGAGATAAACAATCGCAAAAAGGAACAGAGTCTGAGCTCAAAATGTTGCGCAAGGAAGTGGAACAAATGAAGTTTCGTTATGGAATTGAAAAAGAATCGGTTAGTAGTGCCAATCCCAGAGCAATAGGTTTTCAACATAGTATCTGAGGCTATAAAATCTGGACTATAAAATGATGCTTATATGTTGAAAAGTGTTAGTTTTTTAGCAGTTGAAGTCTCAGAGAACTGAAGAAAAACTGATGACGACTAAAACAACTGGTTGTGAAAAAGGCCTTGGTACTAAAGGCAGCGTCATCGCTTTCCTGGAAAGGAAATCACGTCAAGCCAGCGAACAACGCACGCATTACTGGCCTGTAAGTAACACAACTGGTCATCTTTTAAAGGAATATTTTACTTTATTGATAAGCTCAACAAAATTGTTATGCACGAATTCTGACAACTTCGTATTCGCTTACCAATAAACCGTCGCAATGTCTATCCATACGGAGGTGGGATGGGAATCAGTAATGAAAAAACATTTGGGCAATAGTGCTGAATTTAAATCCTGCTTATTGGACACACATCACACAACTGTTTCCATCTTCCAGGTGGTTACTCAGTGACGCAGAAAGTGATCAAGCCCACCTACGGCGAGAAATCGAAGACCTGAGGAAAAACGCCGAACTGGAATGGGAAGAATATAACGCTTCAAGAGTAGACTGGAGGAAACACCGCGAGAAAATGGTATTATACTGTTGCAATGATTATTGGAAAACTTCTGTCTCTGAAGTGCGCCGCTCGCCCTGCCACTTATCACTTTTTCTGTCGATTTACAGGAAGCGGAAGATCTTGTAGCATGGGCTGCCGTCGTGGAAAAGAATGCGGGCATTGCGAAGTCGTAAGAATTATATGCGTCCCGCTATACGATACGAAGATACGCTTTGAGGAAATGTCGCTTACCAGAGAAATTCCAGTTAGTTTGAATGGTAAGCTTCCAAAAAAATATTGGGATTGTAAGCTGTAAATTTAATTGTATAGGAAAAACTAGTTCACGTTTGAATCATTCGCTCGTCGGATGAGGCAGTACAGTGTGCAGAGAAAGAAGAAATGTTTCCTTCTAGAGAATTTTTATGTTATGATGTTTCTACAAGCTAGAACTGCCATTACGGACATCACCATTTCATCAGATTTAACCACTTTTCACCATTTAGGTTTTCGATTAAAGTTCACAGAAATATAAACACCAGAATAACTCGAAAGACCGACTTTCGATGAACCTCGGCACAGATAGTTGATATATTTATTTATGTGTGGATGAGTGCTTTGAATTATTAAACCGACAGTCAGAGTATATAAAATTTACACGAGAAAAACCTACCGAGTACTGGCTTCCATTCTTAAACATCCAAATAAAGCTCTCAGTAAGTGGCTATGTAACAAAATGGTATCGCAAGCCAAGTAGTAAAAACATTCTAGTTCACTGCCTCTCCTCTCATCCTTCACACATGAAAAAAGCACTTTTCAAAAATATGTATCGTACGGCTAAAAATGTGTGCACAGGAGAAGAGGAAAGGAAGGAATCGCGAAACCTGGCACGAAAAATTGCCATTTCCAATGGCTACGAAGTAGAAGCCACTCGGGTTAGAGGAAAACATTGGGTAGTTCCCAAAACAATATTTCGGACGAAAGTAGGATCCTCTTTAAGCTGCCCTTCACATGAAGTGAAGTAAGTCATGCCATTAAAAAGTGCTTAAGAAAAAGTGGTCTTAAAAATTATGTAACTATTGTTGACATCCCACCCAATACCCTACGCCGCCAGTTAGTTCGAAACCGTCTCTATGATCGTTTGTGCAGCTCAGAAAACTGTATGATCTGTCCTAACGGGAGAGACGGGGGTTGCATGAGTTTAGGTATAATATACTTGATCTCATGCAATGCATGCGGCGAGGAATATATCGGGGAAACGGGTAGACCACTTTGTGTCCGCATAAAAGAACATCTAGATGGGAAAGCTAAAATCCGTTTAGACACCCCTCTAGGTACGCATAGGGCACAAATGCACAACGGCGATGGTTTTGAAGTGAATGTGCGGGTCCTAGCGCAGGAATCAAAAACATCAACGCTCAAGACTCTTGAGGCGTTTTGGATAAATTTCAAAAATCCAAAGATGAACCGGAAGGACGAATGCCTCACTATCACGCGTGACCTGGCGCCCTATTTCAAAATGATATTTTGACCCCGGAGCGTGTCTTGCTCACGTGAACTACGTGTGGGCCAGTCCCGCACGTAACATCACGGTGAGTGGCCTTTCTGTTCGATATGGCGTCTATTTGAAAGCTTGATCTTCATTAATACTTTAACCTTCTTTTCCACCGAATAATAAAAAGTATTCTAACATAAAGTACGTCCAGGCTCTGAGGAAGGCGAAGTCGCCGAAACGTCAGCCATCGTTCAATAACATCAAAAACAACGACAACGACAACGACAACGAAGATCTGTACCNGAAGTGAATGTGCGGGTCCTAGCGCAGGAATCAAAAACATCAACGCTCAAGACTCTTGAGGCGTTTTGGATAAATTTCAAAAATCCAAAGATGAACCGGAAGGACGAATGCCTCACTATCACGCGTGACCTGGCGCCCTATTTCAAAATGATATTTTGACCCCGGAGCGTGTCTTGCTCACGTGAACTACGTGTGGGCCAGTCCCGCACGTAACATCACGGTGACCTTTCTGTTCAATATGGCGTCTATTTGAAAGTTTGATCTTCATTAATACTTTAACCTTCTTTTCCACCGAATAATAAAAAGTATTCTAACATAAAGTACGTCCAGGCTCTGAGGAAGGCGAAGTCGCCGAAACGTCAGCCATCGTTCAATAACATCAAAAACAACGACAACGACAACGACAACGAAGATCTGTACCAACCTCGCGTCAGCTTAAGAAGATCAGTTTATAAGATCACATAAATAAATATATCAACCAGAGTAACTGTTCTTGTGGTCGGATGACGAGTCGTATCACCTATTATCCCGTTAAATCATCGAGTTACTCGAAGGTGACAACTCTTGTCACCGTTCGTCTTCGCCTCGTGCCAAAATGCTCAGTGAAGTGCGACTGGTTCTTGCTCAAGGCACGCAGCTAAAACCACATTTAGAACTAGGTCCTTCTCTATCATTGCTTTTTATGATAAAGTGGTCATCGGTAGCTTGCGGTACACTGCTGCAAGATAGGTGTACTATTTTCCTGCTTCATTAGCCTAATTTGCAACATTGCTCTATTTTATATTTTACTTTATTTTTTACTCTATTTTATATTTTACTTCATTTTATATTTTACTATTTTACTCTATTTTAGCTGTATTTTTTGTGTGGAAGTGCTGGACTTTTCTCCGTTCTGCTTAATAAATAGGGACATAGATTGCATTTCGATATCAGGAAACAACATTCAAGAGACAATGAAAGAATGCAGCTACGATGGCGAGAATTTGTTTGAGAAACAGGGCTTGTACTTGGCCGAATATGCACATGAAATTACTCATTATGGAAGCTGATGTATTACCAAAGCGAAATAAAAAGAAGAACAATCTCTTATTTAGGGGATAGGGAAAACTTGTCCAAATCAATGTTGTCCATATCATGTTTCATCTCTCCCTCATCATTGGAGGGCTCAGATGATTGGCTTCCTGTCTCTTTCGTCCAGAATTTAATCGTACATTCTATGTGAATGATCTTTATGGATATCGATTGTTAGATCTGCCAAAACCAGTTGGAATGCTTTGGAGGGCACAAATCGTCACCGATCTTAGTTAAGCTGAAGCTCCAGTGGAAATCACAATGTTTAACTTCTATTTGCTGCCTGTTCCTTTTCCATGGTAGGATATATTGAATACAATCAGAATGATGCCTAGATATAAGCAAAACTCGCAACCTGAGGTGGGCTTCGAACCTGAGAAAAAGCATGGTTGGTGTGGTAGATAACACGTGACCTTCGAAAAGCGTAATTGATGATTCGAAACCTAGCTGTGGTTTTGAGCTTTGCTTACTTCTCAGCATTGTTGTGGTTGTATTTCACGTAATACCCTACCATGAAGAAAATGATAGAAAGTAAATGAAAGCTCAACATAGTTTTAACTTTGCCACCGTTCTGAAGATACTAAATAACTATTCACCTGTATCACCTGAAGTCCCGTTGATCGTCGAGTGACTCAAGCGGGCGCCAGTAAATGTTCCACTTTTCCCAGCCTCGTGGAAGAGTAGCCCAGTGGGTTCTGCTCGCTCTAGGGACTCCTCGAGCATCATATTTTTTTTCAAGGCTCTTTCTGAAGAACTCTGACCATCGCATCGGCGGTCTTTCTGCAGTACGTTTGACATCCCAAAGAATCCAATAACTAACGGTTCTTGTCCATCCATTGTCATTCATACGCATGTGTCCAGCCCACCTTATCTTCGAATGTTTGGCGTACAAAACAACTTCTTCGATTTTTGATCGTTCACGCAGATCGGAGCTTCGGATCCCTTCCCTTAGTTGCGTGAAACGGGTTACTCTTAGCATCGTCCTTTCGACTGCGCGTTCGATAACGCTGAGTGACCTTTCATCCTGCTTACGCAGCGACCAGGTTTCTGAAGCATACGTTAGAGCAGGAAGGACCGCTGAATCGAAAAGGTGGGCGCGGAGTCGGGTGTCCCTTGCTCTCCTCACTACATCCTCGCTGCTCTTGAAAGCTCCCCAAGCCGCTCGTTTACTTCTGCTCACTCTGGAGCTAAATCGTTCAGCATGTTGATTTCCCGACCTACATATATAAATGGAGTATTTGGAGATGTTCGTTCCCTTAAGGGTGAATGAGGCATACGAGACCAATCCGTTCCTCATGAACATCGTTTTTGTGAGATTCAATCAAAGACCAATCTTTTCACAGGATTTATCAAAGTCGGCCAGCATTCATTCCGCTTGGATAATGTTTGCTGTTATAAGGATGATGTCATCAGCAAAGCGAATATGGTATAATTGCCGAACATCGATTTTCATTCCCATGTTGTCCTGTAGCTAAGTTCGCACCACGTTCTGGAGGGTGGCGGTAAATAATTTTGGCGAAATGGTATCACTTTGTATAAGCGCTCTTCTGACATCGGTATTAACATCGTTGTAGAATGGTGATATCTTGGTTGTGAAATTTTGTACAGCTCACGAAGTATCTTAATGTGCTGAGTTAGGACTCCCTGACTATCAATGGCTTTCACGACTGCTTCTATCATAATTGAGTCGAAGGTTTCCTTTAATGAAAGTGAGACAGAGCGATTTTCTGTACTCTCGCGATACTTCAACAAGTCTTGTTATCGTGTGGGTGTGGTCACTAGTGTTAAATCTTTTTCGAAACCCTTCTTGCTCGCCGATATCGTGGAAGTCACCCTTCTTGAACATTATCACGGTTTTACTGGTCTTCTACTAAGTAGGAATTATACATTCAGGCAGGTAACATGTGAAGATTCGAGCCACTCGGTTTACGAGGACTGGCAGGTTTTTCAGGTGTTCAAATCTTATTCGGTCTGGACCTGGTGCTGTTCGATTATTCACCGACAAAATATAATGTTCGATTTCGGAAGGGAGAACTGGAGATACGACATATCCATCCTCCTTTATTTCATATGAGGGAAGGAGGACGTGTCTATGGAGGCGATCTGCGTAGAAACCGTGAACGATTTTCTCAATTGCCCTCCTGGACGCTGTAACTGTTCCGTCTGGGCGTCGGTATACAATCATTTTGGTTTTGCAGTTGACGAAGCATCGATAGACTTTTCTAATGCTTTTACGGCCCTCTGCTGCTTGGACCATAACTGCTTCTTTTCTTTCTTTATGATCCTGTTTTGTTGCTCGTCTACATTGTTTTGCAAGTCCGGACGTGA